TTTTTCTTTCTCTCGCTCTTTTTCTCTCTCTCCCCCTCTTTCTCTCTTTCTCTCTCTCTCTCTCCCCCCTCTTTCTCTCCCCCCCTCACTCACTCTCTCTCATTCTCTCTCTTTCTCTGTCTTTCTCTCTTTTTCTCTTTCTCTTTTCTTTTTCTCTTTCTCTCTCTCTCACACACTCTCTTTCTCTCGCTTTTTCTTTCTCTCGCTCTTTTTCTTTCTCTCTTTCTGTCTCTTTCAATCCCTTTTTTCTGCCTCTTTCTCTCTCCCCCCCCCCCCCCCCTTCTCTTACTCTCGCTCTTCCTTCCTAGGAATCTGGGGATGCCCCTCCCCGCCACTCTTCAGTCGTTGGAGTATCCCTGCCGGCTGCCCTGACCCCCCTCCTGGCCGGCTGGCAGCCCCTTCGCCATCCCCTCCCTACCTGTAGAGCGTCAGGTCCTCTTGAAGGGGATTTAAAGAAACGAGGAGAAAGCAAAGCAGCCTCTGTGAGCCTCCTCTGCCTGCCCTGCCTGCCTTGCCAGGCTGGCCACGGTTGGCGTCGCCGGCGCCTCTCCCCTCTCCGTTCTGGAGGGGCACCGAGAGCTCCCTGGAGACGCAGAGCGGGGATCTTTCTCGGTTGGCGGTGGGGAGCCAAGCAGCTGGCGTGTGCTGGAGAAGGAAGGAGAGTCAATCTGGACCTTTCAGCTGACTGCTGCTCCTTCTCTCTCTCTTGGGAACAGTTTGGGAGGGCGAAAACGCTGCGGGTGGGTGGGTGGGTGGGTGGAGGGTGGGAATGCTTTGGAGGAGTCAAATTGGGGTCGTTCAGGAATGCCAGCTGGGGAGCGGTGGCAAAGGAATCGGGAGAGCAGGGAGCGCGCCAGGCAAACCACGGGAATAAATATTAAAAAGTAAGGAATAGGGGTGGCTGGGTCAGGCTTTTATTAGATTCTTGGGGTGCTAACATCTCCTAGGCCACCTCAGGTGGACGGTTGTACGTTTTCTAAAGGATAGAAGAATTCAGGGGTGACATGATCACAGTCTTCCAATATATCTCGGGGGCTGCCCCAAAGAAGAGGAGGGTCAACTTATTCTCCTAAGCACCTGAAGGCAGGACAAGAAACGACGGATGGAAACTAATCAAGGAGAGAAGCAACCTGGAATTTAGGAGAAACTTCCTAAGAGTGAGGACAATTCACCAGTGGAATGGCTGGCCACCAGAAGTTGTGGTTGCTCCATCACTGGACGTCTCTAAGAAGAGACTGGACAGTCACTTGTCTGAAATGGTAGTCTCCAGCTTCAGCAGGGGGCTGGACTAGAAGACCTCCAAGGTTCCTTCCAGCTTCTATTCTGTTCTATTCTATTCTATTCTATTCTATTCTATTCTATTCTATTCTATTCTATTCTATATTCTATATTCTATATTCTATATTCTGTTCTATTCTATATTCTATTCTATTCCTATTCTTTCATTACTCTATTC